CACGACGATATCATCTAGATAAACTGCTACAAAATCGCTAATATGTGCAAATAGACTATTTACCAGTGACTGGAAAGTCGCTGGAGCATTGTGCAGTCCAAAAGGCATCATCTCGAATTCATATAGTCCGTAAGGCGTTGTGAAGGCAGTATATTGTTTCGATCCTTCTTCCATAGGGATCTGCCAGTAACCCTTAGATAAATCTAGTGTAGTAATAAATTTAGCATTACCTACTGTGTCTAGCAAGTCGTCGATCCTAGGTAGTGGGTAGGCATTAACTGTAGTACAGGCGTTCAGTTTTCGGTAATCTACACACGGTCGATATGTTCCGTTCGGTTTCTTCACTAAAATCACCGGACTTGCCCAAGGACTGGTAGACTTTCGTATGACTTTCAGCTCCAACATTTCCTGGATCGAGTCTCGTAACGCTTTCTTCCTAACCCCCGGCATTCGGTAGGCTTTCTGTTTGATCGGTTCGATATCTTGCTTAAGAACCACCTTATGGCTTACTAAACTCGTCCTTCCTAACTTATCCGTAAAGGTGTTCGGAAACGTAGAGATTAGGTGTTCCAATGCCAACCTTTTACTGCTGGCTAACGTAGGATCAAATAAATTCATATCAAAATCCCTTCGAGCTTCTCTGAAGTATGGAATATCCTCCTCTTTCTTCTCTTCAGTTTCATTGGCTAAGACTGAGTGCGAGTCAGATGTTCGCCAGGGCTTCGTCATATTTACATGAATTACTTGCTTCTGCTTTCTCCTTTCATGCGTAGAAATTTCGTAATTCACGCCTACCAATTTTCCGGATAACTTCATACGGGCCGTCCCAACGTAGTTGTAATTTATCTGTCTTGGTAGGATTTAACAACAGTACTTTATCTCCAGGTTGATAGGTAAGTAACTTCCTTAGCATGTTGGTCGTAATATCTCTTCTGCCGACCCTGAGCGTTCTGCAGATGTTCCTGCGCCAAGTGCCAGTTTTGCTGGAGGACATCCTGCAATTCCTTGAAATATTTAATAGGTTCCTTTTGCTCCTCCTGTGTGTCGACCCATTGTTCCTTAACTAAGTCGAGGATGCCTCGTACTTTCCTGCCAAAAACTAATTCGAACGGCGAAAAACCAGTCGATTCCTGCGGGACCTCACGATAGGCAAAGAGTAGATAAGGGAGGTAGTCATCCCAAGTTTTCGGCTTCGTTTGAGTGAAGCGCTTTAACATCCGTTTCAACGTTCCATTGAATCTTTCTACTAGGCCATCCGTCTGTGGATGGTACGGTGTAGTCTTCAGCCGTTGTATTCCTAGAACCTCATACAGTTCATCCATGTATTGATTAATAAATTCAGTACCTTGATCCGTCAGGATCTCTTTAGGAATACCAAATCTTGAGATATATTGCCCCAATTCTTTCGCAACATGAGTGGCATCAGCTTTGGTAAGGGCAAAGGCCTCAGGATAGCGGGTTGCATAGTCACAGATAGTTAGGATGTACTGTTTCCCACTCTTAGTTCTAGGTAGGGGGCCTATAATATCCATGGCGATCCGTTCAAATGGAGTACCAACAATGGGCATTCTTTGCAGAGGCGCTCTCTTTATTGAATCATCGGCTAGTTGGCATTCCGGACACTCCTGACAAAAACGTTTTATATCTGCCCACATTTTTGGCCATGTGTATCGCTGTTTCAGCCTTGCATACGTCCTCGCAAAACCTTGGTGGCCTGCCATCGGGATTTTGTGGGCCAATTGCATGAGCGCCCGCTTACATTTCTCCGGTATCACTAATTGGTCTTCTAACTCGACTTCTTCTCCTGAGTCGATGGCTTTCATTAAGATGCCATTCTCCTTTAAATAATAACAGCCAGGTTGTTGTGGTCGTCCTACTGCTTCTCGATATATTTCTGCGATCTCCGGGTCCCGCTGTTGCCACTGAACAACTTGTTGAGTGTTCATACTTAACTCTCTCATATCCTCTGCGGTTCCCGGGTGTTGATCTTCTATTTCATTACCAATTTCTGCCACGAAGGCATGATAAGCTATATCGATCTCCGATTCCGAATTTACATCATTCCCTTCTTCTGGTTGGTCATTCTTACAGCTAGGCACCGCTTCCTCTTCAGGATCTGCATTAAACGAGATTAAATTAAACTTATCTATTGTTTCTTCTCCTAGTATTACGTCGTAGGGTAAGTCTTCAATGACTACCACTCGAATTTCCTTTTCCCGTTTTCCGATTCGAATGATGACATTTGCTGTAGGAGCTTCTAGGGTATCCTTCATAAATCCGGTTACCTGCACCATGTCTGCATAATTAATGACTTCGGTGTCTACAAAATCTTTTCTGACCAATGTCAGGCTTGCTCCAGTATCGATCAGTGACTTAGCTGGGCTCCCTTCAGCATAAATATTTTTAATGTACCTTTTTGACTTGGCTCCATCATTTAACGTCAACTGTGATATTCGTTTCAGCTTTTCGCTGTGGCGCTCCATATCTCTTCGGACATTGATAGGCCAAATGTTCTGTAGATCCACATACATGACAATGGAGTCTTTGTTTAGGTTTCGGGCCTTGTTTTGGCTCGTTTTTATTTTTATTATTGAAGGGTGGACGTGACTTCTTCACCTTCGGATTATACTGTCCCTTCGATGGAGCCTGCAGGTACGAGTGTTGGCGGCTTTGAGCTTCATATTCATCTGCAGCCATCATTAGCTCTTTCCACGAATTTGGACGCAGTGATTGCACATAGGTCAGCAAGTCGTATTCGCGTTTGATTGTCCACTTTTGTACTTGATGGTCAATTAACATAGTTTCTCCGATGGGCCGGTCACAATTGTTGACCCAGCGGTAGTAATACTCGTACTTCTTTCGTCCATACTCCATATATGTCTGAGCTTCTTGCCGGTCCAGTTCATGGAATTTCTTAGCATAGGTCGCCGGATTTAACCTATACGTGTCGAGGAGGGTCGATTTTACTATTGCGTAATCATCTTGCTCCTCTCGGGTTAGCAATGAAAAGTTTGCCAAGGCAGAGCCAATTAATAGGTCCTACTCGGGGTCCCCATTCGGTTTCAGGCCAACCATTTCGCTCTGCCGTTGCTTCGAAGATCTGTAACCATTGTTCGATCTCCGTGCCCTCTGATAACGGTTGTATTGCTATCACGTCTCGGCGAGTAGGCGCTGAAGGTTGGGCCTCCTGTCTTTGGTGGTGTTGCACTTGCTGTCGGAGTTCCTGTTGTTCATGTCGTAGCTCTTGTTGTTCTCTATGGCAGCTTTCTTGAAATGTTATCATGCGAGCCAGTAACTGTTCAATGGCTCCGGCCGTTTGCACCGGCACTTGTGGTACATTGTGTGTAATGATTCTCCCCGGCCGCTGTGGTGTAATGTGCGTAGGTATTCGGGGAACCTCATTAGTGGTTTGTACCCCAGGAGTTTCTTGGTACATCTCCTTATTAGTCGCCAAAGTTTCTTCCCTCATCTGTTCTTGTGCAAACTCTATTTCTTTTTCCACAATTCTTGCGACTAGAGTAGCCACTTTTCGGTTTCCAATGACTATACCATATCTTCTAGCCAAATCTTTTACCTGCTCTTCAGGCAAAGTCAGGAGTTGCTCCGTTCTTTGGCTTTCACCTTCGTCTGTTAACATATTCACTTGTGCCATCGAGTGAGTCATCATCACTTTTTCACGTTTCAGTAGTTCTATGTAGCCTTGGATAATCCTTCGATCTCTTCAGATTGATTGAATTAGGTTCTCTTACCTTTTGCTTGAGATCTGATTATAATGTAGTAGTGGGCCAAGTGTT